TTTCTTAGTAACGAAACGAACTATTCGTGTATATACAGGGTAGTCATCATAAGGCGGGTAAACTTCAAGGCTGGATATGGGTGCTTCGTTACAATTTAAATTAAAAAAATCTGATTTGTAACTCGGAATTTTGAATTGCAAACTCGGAATTCCGCGTAATAAATAGTCACTATAAATATAATATTTGGGGAATATTTTTATCAAAAAAAATAATTTGCTTGTCATAAAGAAACAAATTTACGAGCGTTTGTTTTTATCTCACGCTTTAGCTAATCGCAAAATTTCACTACATGAGTCAAGTGCAATTACCCAAACCCCTGAAGCAATTTTCTATTTACACTAGGTCAAACCGCACGGTGTAGTCTAATTATCCGCTTTAATCGTAAATCTATTGAAAAATTGCTTTGCAAGTGGGATTATTCAAAACTTACCATTTACAATTTTAATGTGAGAAAACCTTAAATTGAGCCCTAACTGAGGGGAGCGGTTTACTGATTGAACAATCTGTAAAACGAAAAGTGAAATAAAAGCACCAAGATTATCGATTGTGGATTGTAAATATACTAATGGACGGTGTGTTGAACCCGTCATCACAGTCCGAAACGTAAATTGTGTAGGCGTTAATCTATCACACCCTTCCTAATTTGCCAGTCTTCATCGTCAAATTAGTAGCGTTCGTTTCGTTAAACTTTAGTGTTCTTGTAGTAAAAGCGCAAAAGAGTAATGTCAGATAACAGCCTAATCAATATTCTTCTGCGTTTTGTTTTAAGGACCTGCACGTCCTTCTGTACACATTTTTCACGTCTTCAAAAGAAAGGATGTGTTATATAGGACAATATTTCTCACACTATTGTGCCATTTCTTCAGAATTTTTCATTTCACAAAGACAATAAGTAATGGAAATGGACAACACTTTACACAAACTGTTCCTGGTATCGGGCGAATAAAAGGAAAGACTTAAATTAGAAAACCGAGGTTCTTTGTTTTCCATCAATTTTGTAATTTTCGTTGTGTTTGTATTGGACAAAAGATGTAGATTTTATTTAATGCAGCTGACCGTAATTAGTTTTTTTTTGCGCAAACTTAAAAGGTTACATAACGGAGGGGTTGGTTGATCTGAGTGGGTGTTAGAAAATCCCGACTCCCTTTAAGGCTGCGACTCCGACCTGCCAGATATCCGAAACGAGGACTGCTGCTGCAATTTACTTGATGAAGGGTGGACTGGGAACCCTGTATCCGCACCCGTGCATCCGAGCTTTATACCCTTGATATTTTGCTAGGCGGATAGTAGTGCCACGATTACAACGTACAATACGAAATAAGTACAACCTTCACCTGAATGTTCGTCTGCGCTGACGTGATAACATGTGCCGTTATGCACCTGTTAATGAAAATTCGAATCGATCGACGTCGCATTTCTTAACAAATGCTTCCGATTATAATAAAAGAGTAAAACTTAATTTAACGGTGTTCCAAGGTAATCGAATTAGTCGTTTTATAGGATTCGAAATCAATTTAAAATTTCATCTTCAATATGGCACGGTATGAATTCCAGAGGCTTCGAAGTCGTGTGAACCATGAAGTACTGTTATCGGCGACCATTAAGATCTTACTGCGCTATAAAAGCAAACCCATCAAAACTTGTCTCGCTTTAGCCACTTTAGCAAAAGAATCGTTAAATTTTCAACAATGGTTTTTTCGAGAACATGTCTACTTTTTTTTTATCAGAAAGTAACAGAGCTAGCGTATAATTCACATTCATCAACCTGAAAATCTCTCGTTTTTATTTCTAGAATGTAGCAGTAGCCAAAGCTTGCGTCTCTTTAGAAACCTTATATTAGCGAGTTCCTGGCGTCCATGAGTCTCCCACCCGCCCCCTCAACCTATAACGGATCCGATTCGACCCTCTACGATAGGAAAGGGTCATCTCCTCATCCTGCAGCGCTAGGGCGGTGGGTGGACATCCAAGATAAGGGTCCACAATGACGATCCGTTGGGGGCGAGTTTCTAACCCTTATTGCGGTCGGGTGCTTTTGCTGTTCTCTCTATAAGGTTTACTTGAATTTTGGGGTTTCCAACGTCGATGTGGGAAACTTCACTTTGAATTATTTCCAATACTTCTTTTAGTTGAAAAGATATATTGTATATAGACGAAATATATTTCTCCAAAACTTTCAGAAATAATTTCACCCTTCCATTATTACGTTCGCTCTCATATATATTTTCTTACCGCTTTTCCCTTAATTATATCGAAAAAGAAGCGTCGTAGCAGTTTTCTATCATATTAGGTATTAAATATGCAAAAGGGCGAAGAACAAAAACCATTGCATCATTCGGCAAAGAGGGTGCGTGCTTTCACGTCAGAAAAGAATTCCGAAAAGGAAAACGTTTCGTGTCACATCGTACATAGTTGAATATTTCGGAAGCCTTTCAATTAATTATGTACCGAAAGCTATTGGAACGTGGCCGCTTTTCGAAAGGAAAAGGGTCTTCCAATTTTATTTGATTTATTGTCACGTTTTTGTGTTTAGTTTTATTTGTTAAGTTCGTTAACTTTGTTAAACAGAACCGACCAAATTTTGTTTGATTGGTTGGTTTTTATAATACGCTTTCACTAATTACATTTGCAACGTGGGGTTGCTCGACCTTTTCGGTCTGTAGAGCATTCATTTTACCTTCATTATAATGTAGCAAGAACAAAGGCAGCAAAGAGTTCACACGTCCTTCTCGTATAATTTGGACTCGAAAAGAACACAAAAGACCCAGTTTAGACTTTTAGCATTTCTGCTGCTCTTTTGGAAGTTATTTATCACCTATCGTGGAAAGTATACAGGGAGGTAGAGGTAACCAAATCGAACATTATTTCCAAATAAATCAAAGTGTTCTGTTTGGGAAATCAAAATTTGCATTTCTTCTTTAATTTTTTTCCAAGATAACGCAGCTGGTAGCTGATCTCAACAAAATATGGCATCATAAAAAATTATTCCGACTGGAAATTTATCTGAGCACTATGCAATGAATCTTCTAGAATCTAGACAAAGGCTATTCGTTATTGTTAAAAACATCCCAAATACCAAATTTTGTCGAGATCAGAATTACAGTTACAATTAGGTATTACACAGTTTTTGAATGACACAATTGTCGTATCTTGAATAGGTACCAATAGCAGTCAACTAAAATGCCATCGTACACACAAGAGTAGCTAAACCGCATGACATATGACATTTGTTAAATTTATTTTTTTCGATAAAGTACCTAAAAATTTTGTGGCAGGTCTTAGCTTATGCCTCAATTCAAAATTTTGCCGCCGTCGGCGCCGGCGCGATTTAATTTCTCCAAAAAAATTCGAAAAATTGTCAAATTTTGAGGAGAATTTTGAAGAGAATAGTATATTAAGATACAAGTGTATAATCAAGTCTTTAAAGCACGCGCAACGAGTTTAAGGGCACGACGCAAAGCGGAGTGCCTTTAACGTTGCAAGTGCTTTAAAGACCAATTATACACGTGTATCTTATAGTATTTTTTATTATACCTGCAGTATAATTTAAAAATAGGAAATACAATGAAATCATATTGACGTTAAGCGCGGTTTAGATGCTACGATCTTGGCTTCGATAAATCGTAACGATCTGATTGTTCAACTTATCGTTCAATAAATCGAAAGAGTGCGTACTGTTTACATGTAACGATTTCTTGTTCCAATCTCATTGTCGATCACAGTTTAATACAGTTTTTATTTTTTTACTTTTCAACTTGTCTTTTGGTTCTGTCCACTAATACAAATTATACTCGCATTTTATTGCTTACATTACTTGCTTACAATAGAATCTTAATCTCGATTATGATTTATGAGTAGCGATGTGTCGCTAAATATTTTTTTTGGGTGGCCAAACTTGATCGCCACTCGCCAAATGTAAAACGTGTGCGTTAGAGACAGTCCAAGTAGCCCAAACGGATACAAAAATGGTTCACGTCGGCAAAATTGGTCACAAATTGTAGGGATAAATCGCTGTTATTGTTTACACGTTCCAATTTATCGCTACGATTCGCAGAAATTGAAGCCGGCCGCCATCAACCATCCAATCCAATTCCAATTCGTCTTTCATGGCGAGCGGACGTGTTTTGAGCGAGCTCCGGCCTTTTTTAGTGGGTTTTTGTGTTTGTATAGGTTTAAAAATGTATGTCGGTAGAGTACAAAATTTGTAATTGTTTAGTGCTTATTTCATCGAAATCGGTCCAGTGGTTGAGATTTTACGAATTTTTACAGTTTTAAGTTTAATCTCAAGATTCATAACGTACCACCATAAACCAAACGGTAGAGGTCTCGGGGATTACCATGGGAAGATGGGAAGAGAATAGCAGAGACAAACATCAAAGGAAGAAAGAAAGCAGAAGAATACTGGAGGTGGAGGAAGAATCAGCCACAAGGACAAGTAGCCAAGGGGAGGAGGAAAAGGGGACAGAAAGTAATGCGGAGAGAGGACAACAATAAAAAGAGCCTAACACGAGGGAAAACAGGGAAGGGAACGAGACCAAAGGATAGGAACATCTGAAGCCAATGAACGCCCGGAGAAGAAGCTATCACTAGAAAGCAGAGTTCCCTCTAAGGCAGAATACCAGTGGCGAAGCTGTGGCCGTACCCGTCCGGGTCGGATAACACCCAGTTAGCCGCCGCCCCCCACAACCCCCCCAATCCACAAAATCCACCACATTGTTTGGCATATGTCGCGGCCCAGCGCGATGGCAACAAAGTAGTGGTGTGGACGTTTGACAGTGTATCCGTATTGGACCAACCAAACAAAACATTATAAATTTTCAGCGACATTTTTGCAAGTAATTAATCAATTCTGTGTACACATTTGAGTCCTCTTTTTCATTTGTAGTCGCCCCATGATTGTGGGATAAATTCGAACACTCTTCACGAAAAATTTATTTTGATTACTGTCATGTCTATCAACAAGGGCCTAAAGCAGTTACAAAACCCAAAATACTACACTATATAAGATTGAAAAAATGAAGTAGTATTCAAGTACTCTACTCATAAGTACAGTCTGGGGAATATGGATCATCAAATGGTATATACCAGGGTTTCTTCTTCCATTTCTTCTTCTCATAGTCCCACTTTGTCGAAAGTCCAGTGATTGGATTCACGTGCATCTCAAGCATACGCCTCAGCTGTGCTTTCCGTGAACTCTCACAAAAGCTCGACGGCAGTGGAGTCTGGCTATAAACAAATTTGTGCATGAGCACCGAGGCCCAAAGGCCTGCAGATACCACTAAGCACACGCCTCCTATAACTAGCATCCAACTGCTTCTTGGCTGCATGAATTCCGTGAATGTTTGGCAGAAATTGGATCTGTACAGTTCTTTCTTTTCGCAGAGCGTAAGTAAGCGCCAATCGCCTCTTTCTTTCTCTCTGAGAGCCTAGAAGGAGTTGTTAACGGTACACAACGTTTGCATTTACACATACCAGAAAGTCAGAACTGGGCGCAGTGTAACGGATTGAGGGGAACGGAAAATCGGGCCGATCAAAGTAAACTGGCTCTCCGTTCATGCCATAACCAACAACTTCCCGATTTCCTATGCGACTACGGTAGTAACCATCAGGATCGTTGTAGTTGTAAGCATAACCACACTTTCTTGCGGGCTGCGCTCGGTGAAAGGAAAATGGGATCAATTTTCTAATACTGTCAGTACGAATCATGTCTACACTAGACGTTGACAGTTTGTTACTATAACAACGCAGAGTGCAATTTGTTTGGAATTTCGTCTTCAACGCACTCTCTCCTCTTTCCTAATAATTGGAAAAGTTCACTACAATCGAGTTTGTTCAATTGATAAAAATAGCTGAAGCAATTACCAGGCCGTCCATCTAGATGTTGGCAAAGAGGGATACATTAGCCTCATTTCCGCTCGCATGAAACTAGACACCGACGTACGTACGTGTATACCGATAACTCGCAAGCACGTGCACAAACCTTTATTTAACTTTACGAGATGGGCTCTCCGCAATTTTCTAGACATATGTCCACAAGTTGGGAAATTCGATGCTACTTTAAAATAGCACCCTTAGAACGTTAGTCTTAATTATTGTTTCTTTATTAAATAATTTATATATCTCTGATTTAAAATTTGAATAATTTATTCGTTGCTCATAATTTATATTGAATGTTAATTTTAATTATTATTTTAATTATCGCTTGTTAGGTGTTCTTTTGTTTCAAAGACAACTTAGATGAATATAACTACATTTTTTTATGTATGTTTGTTGGGTACTTATATTTTAGGAAAAAATCATATTCTACTTAACCATAAATGGTACGCTCTCTAGCGGTACACCTATAAACTTGAAAATAAGTCCCATCGATTTCTTTTGCCCACTTTTGATAACAAATTTTGTTCCCCAAGCTGTGCCCTTTATTAATGCATATACAAAAATCACCATAAGTTTGTGCGCTAATGGGGACTTACACAACAGAACACAAGAAGGCAACGAGATTTCTTCCGATAGCATGGGCATTACCTCTTCAACAACCTCTCCAGCAGCACCATGAAAAATATAAAAACTTTCACAGAATTCAGGTGGAAATTAAAAAAGTTATTAGTACAAAACGCAATTTATAAAATCGATGAATTCGTAAACCGCTCTCCCCTAGGTTCAGAAGAAACGAAAAAGAGAAAAACGATCAAAAGGAACTTGAGAACCACTTGAAGTGAACATGTAAAAACTAGGAGAAGAGCCTTTGTACATTAAACCACGATAAACCATTACAAAAAGGGGGACATTAAAAGTAACTCTAAGAACTGATATTCATAATAATATATCCAACAACAAAAAAGTAAACAACATTTTGCTTTACAACTTCAGACAAAATACTTCTTGGATTTTGTTATTTTAATAAGCCAAAATTTCGAGAAAAATAGGACGGGCCGATAGACGAACGAAGTATATTCACACTCAAGCTTTCGTTATTTAATAACATTGTACCATTTTGAACATACATTAATATGTAAAATCGATGACTTCTTTATCGATATCCTAACATACCCTAAGCCCTAAAGTAAACATTTCAGAGTTAACCAAAGCTTTTATTTACTTTCTTGAGTTTTAAATCAATTATACCCGATTAGTCGAATACTCCTTTGTAAACTACTTATACTATGCTCTCCTCAGTCATTAATACTTAATCTTTTCACGACAATTATTTGGTTTAGTTTTTATACTACATGGTCGACTTTTGTACTAGCAGCGTCCCAATTATAAACGTAAAACTTGGGAAAAAGTCGGAATGTCAATTTGTAGTGCCGCCGCCGTCGCATCTGCTTGAATGCTCCATAATTCGAACTTCTAGGTGGGTGGTTTATAACACCGCAACCTAAAAACGTTACGACAAAGTCGATTACTTGCTCGTAGCATTGGTCTGACACGTATAAATGACGGAACCCAACTTTTTACGAGTTTCATAAAATAAACCTATATCATATACACTGTTAAAAACGCCATAACTCTGGATTTCTCTTTTAATCATTTTTTTTCGCATTCCATATTGGTAAGTGAAAAACGTATAAAAAAGTATTTCCATTCACAAACCACATATTTACTATTTTTACCGGAGATTTATCTTTTAAAATAATTACCAAAATTAAATAAATTAAAAAGCGTCGCCGTGCAAGTTTGTTCTTGCGTCATTACTTTGTTGTTAAACTTTTAACAAGCTTTGAATTGCACTACAATATGACTCGGAAACCGATAAAGCTTGACAGCACCCGATGAGAAAAAGTGCAAGAACGTCTCCTAGCAAGGGTGCCGTGAATTCACCCCGAAAAACTCAAAAATTCATTACAGTTTAATTCGCACATGTAAATTATTCCCATCATCCTAATCCCCTCTGGATATTTTCCCACAAGGAATCTCGTGCTAGAAAAATATACTCCTTAAGAAAAATTTTAGAAACGGCGTTTTTTATATTCAGATTATTGTTTCGTTATCAGTCTTAATGATGAAGGTATTTAACTTCTTTTTGAAATATGTGCTTGAAGCCTTTCTGGGCACTTCCTAGCGTCATCACTCTCGGCTGTATTCACAATTCCTTCTAATGTGCCCGTTTTTTAGCGCATTTCCACAAAAAAAATGCGCTATTGTGGCCACTTTGTCCGTCCGTCCGCTCGTTTTGCGACACTACTAGTTCTTTATCTTAAGAGCTATTGTTCTACTTTTTTCGCTATTTGGTTCGTTATGGTGTCGAGTCTTGTACCAAGGAAGGAATTTTTTCTGTACCGCTTACAAAAAAAGTTATTGTAAAAAAAACAAAAAACCGTTTTTTACATGTTCCATAATTTTACACTTTTGCCGTTTATTAACGATCCTAGAGATCGTTTATAATTTTGCATTGCTATCTGTCGTCTGCCTGTTGGTCTGTCCGTCTGTTCCTTTGTCTGTCTGTCCATCTATCTGTCCGTGTGAACGATAACTTTGTTTAGAAATGTTCGATCGCTTTTACATCTCCGTTAGTTATGAACTGAATTGCATGAAATTCAATATGGGCATAGCTTTAGCCATATAATACGCAATGCCAAAAGTTGAATCGAATCGATTCAAAATTCACAGTGCCCTTTTCGCATCTCGACCATTTATAAACCGAATTGCAAAATTTTTTACTTATAAAAGCATTTGAATGAAATTTGATACATAGGCACTTGGAATAAAGGATAATCAACTGCCAATTTCAAAATTTGGTTTTGCGCATGCGCAGTGCCAACTTTTTTATTTATGGAAGAATTTAAATGAAATTTGATACATAGGCACTTGGAATAAAGGAAAACCTAGCGCCAGTTTCAAAGTTTATTTTGCGCATGCGCAGTGCCAACTTTTTTTATCTATGGAAGCATTTAAGGGAAATTTGATATTTAGGCGCTTGGAACAAAGGAAAATCTAACATTAGTTTCAAAATTTAGGTTTGCGCATGCGCAGTTCCATCTTTCTTATTTAGAAAAGCATTGAAATGAAATTCTTCTCATAAACTGACATTGAAGTAGCACGACAAAAATGGATTGCCCATGTGCAACGCTATCTTTCAATATTTGTGGCCGGATTTTTACGATTTTATAGAAGTTGCATCTTACAAATGGGAAATGAATGCAAGTGGAAATGCGCTTTATGTAAATCGTTTACGATTACTTTTTAACTTGTTACTATAGCCTATAGCCCCAGCATCGCAATCCTCGTCGTTTTGTCCGTTGCTGCTCCATTAATCTTTTCAATATTTCTTCTAGATTTTCGTCCTTGTCTTCTATAGCAATGATGTGCACGCGAGCTATACCACGAGCCGTTTTCTTTACAGCATCAAACTCCAGAGCATATGCCAACATACAGCCTCGAACTATTTGAAGTAGGTGGATCACTATATGATTTTCCGTCGAATGTCGGCGACTTAACTCTAATTTTGGTTGAACTAATATTTATACACGGTTCGGTACCATGGATGACACATCACTTTTTTTCCGTTCTTCAGTCATCAACATAAATTCTCTTCGTAGTTCATCGTATTTAGTTTTCATTTCATTTTCTACAGTATGAATTTTATCTTGGACACTCTGTATCTCGTCTTGATTCATACCTCTTATTTTTTGTTGACTTGCTTCAATATTAGTGTTCATTATTTGTTAACCGGCTTCTACGGCTTTGATTCCATGGTTTGTTGACCGGCTTTCATTTCTTACATTAATTGCATAAGTTGCTCCATTTTTTCCGACGTAGATCCGGTAGATCTCGGTTACTATTGGTATAAATTTCCACTAAATGTCCACGTAAAACACAACCCGACCCTTCACCCCATTGTAACGAAAATTTAATTACTTATTTTTATATATTTATAAATAACTAACAATACAATACATTTATAACAGTCTTGAACTGAACTCAAATATGCTACAATTTGGTTATACCTATAATGAAATGGAACATTCCAGAAAAATAGAGAAGGTTTGTGAAAACGATCTTGAAAGATCTGGCTAAAACGTTTCAACACATTCTAGTCGCGCCGATTACTAACCTTGGATGGCGTCCCGCGGTCTGGCATACTCGTTGTTACAACAACAAATGCAGTAATGCAACAACCACCAGGGTGTGTTGATTTTTAATTTTTGAAAGTACATAATTAAAAAAATACATATTATGTCTCTCGACTCTCGACTTTGGAAAGGTGAATATACAAAGACAAACTAGAAATATAATGTACGGTCATTGACAAAAGTAATGATCGCCTAATAGGTAAGCTCTGTAATATAGGCAACCAACATGCCTATCACTCCGGACTCTGTCGGTTTCTTCAAGGAGATACATACCAAGTTGCACAATATATTCAAATGTTGGTTTCGTATGCTGCGGGACTTAACTATTCGGAGGTCTGTGGCCCTGCGTCATTAATTTGTGAATCAATACAAGACAATTTTTTTTATCGATTTGGCACTGATAACTGATACAGTGTTTTACCGTAGTGGCGCAGGGCCACAGACTCCTGACTTCAAGTGTACGTGGTTTACTTTCTACAAGTCATATTAGCCGAGACTACGGGTCTGTACTTACCTAAAACTTTATCGAAAAAATTGAAAGTGTTGATGGATCTAAAAACTGACATACTATAATGAGTATAAAGGTACTAATTGCAGTGTTCACTTCTTTCATTTCTTAAAAAAGATTACGTTGAAATTTGTGGGTCAGTTGTCATCTAATCATCTAATGTGATTAGCGCAAACTACGAAACCAGGTTTAGAGTATCGACTTCATGCAGATGAGGGTGATGAATACAGACATTAAGGGATATACGTTATATAAACACCGTTCTGTAAGCCTATAATCCATTATTAAAATTGTTAACGAAAAATAAATCGGGTCATCATTAGCGTTTGAAACACCCACTTCGTTTCATTTTTTCTAACTTCATAATATGCGCTTAATAAATCTAAATTTAACGACGGCGTGCAAGTTA